ACCCAGGAGCACAGACTGTCACACATGGGAGACAGAACCAGAAACAGCTTAGGGTGCACTGGGCAGGAGGAATGTATACCAGCCATGCCCAGGCTGCCCCAGGAAGCAGCCTGGACCTGAGGCCTGCAGCGTAGCAGGAGTTCCCCAGGTGTGTGTGTTTATGCATGTGTGTGCCTCTGTGTGTGCACATGCTGCAAGTTCTTGTGTGTGTGCTGCGTGTGTGCGCTGCATGTGTATGTGTGCGGAGAGGGACGGGCAGCAAGAAAACGGCCCCTGAAACCACGTGCCCACTCACAGGTGCCCCCCAGTGCTGGCTTCCCTGAGGAACTGCACCCAGGGGTATCTGGGGAGCAGCAGCCAGCAGGTTCCGTGCAATCCACCCTGCCACACAGCCCGGGCAGGCAGAGGACCCAGGCTGGGTGCTGGCCCAGCCACCCGTGGGATACAGCCCTCAGACGACTCCTCTCAGGCCCTCTGCTTCCAGCAGCGACTTCCAATCAGAGGGAAACACGGCATACAGAAGGGCCTCTCTCGCCGGGTGAGCACCGTCCCCATCGGTGGCTCTGTGTGGGCCCAGGGCTTGCAGAAGTTATGAGCCTGCAGAACGACAGGGGCTTCTTGTGTCCCCAGACAAGACTCAAAGGGCTCATTATGCAGCCAACCAGCCGCAGCTCCCAGCCACATGTGCTCCAAGGCGCCTTTCACAAGTAAGGAGCCACTGGGCCTTCGGTGTGATTTTTGGCTTTTAAGAGCTCCGAACATTTGGAAGGAATAAAATTAAACAATACTGCTGGATGTCCTTGCAGTTACTCGGTACCAGGCTGGAAATGTGAGACTTGAACAGGTGACCAGCACAGAGCACACAGACCACCTCTCCCCATGCCTCCTGTGGCAGACATCACTAATCAACTGCTACACTCCTCTCTGTGAGCCACTTGCAGGTACGGGATCCCTGCCAGAGTCCTGGGTTGGCACCAGCCACTGGCAGCACCTGTCTGGGAGATGAAGCCTGTGTTCCGAGAGGCAGGGCAAAGGCCTTTTTCCTACGGCACCCAAGACAGGCAGCTGTGGCAGATGCACGTGAGTCCCTGTGTCCCCATGCCTGTGGCCTAGTAACAGTTGGGCTCCTCAGTCACAATGACCAGGCCCTCAGGCCCCCCGTACACAGCATCGTGCTTCCAGATGGCAGCTGTCCCTGGTGATTTGTGCAGAGCTCAGTTCTTGGGGTGCAGCAGTAGCTGAGGGTGGCTGATTACATGTAGTGAGCCATGCTCAGCAAACCCAACCCAGTAGCCAGTCTGGCCAGCTGTGCCCGAGGTGCCTGTCCCTGGGTCCCCCTGGCTGGGAGCTCCCTTGGCTGGTGTCTATGCAGACAGAACTACTCAGGGCCACCCCAGGACCCTGCTCCAGTGACACAAAGCCCAGATCATGGGTCAGACAGAGAGGCAGGGGCAGCCCCCCACCCAACAGCTGCCACTTTGTACCTCCTGCTGCAGCAGGAGGACAGCAGGGACTATGCAAAGCCCCCCTCCCAGGACAGCGCACTGGGTGTCCCCAGGGCAGCCCTCTTGATGACAATCAAAAGCTGCTTCGCTCAGGTTCCCTGTGGACGCCTCCGAGAGCATAAATGTCAGAGGATGACATTTTCTCAACTTTTATTTCCGCTTCCCAGCTGCGTCCCAGATAGCAGATGAATGAAGATTCACCCCTCTTCCCTCCCTCCCTCCAGATGCCCAGCTCCATTCCTGGGGCTCAGCTGGGAGTGCAATGGCAAGCAGAAACACTAAAACGACACCCAGGATTTGGAGGCAGATTTATTTATGTCGACACCACTGATTAGGATCATTCCCAGAATATCAGGCCCCGATCTCTGGTGGCCGAGGACTTAAACGAGATAAGCCAGCAGGAAATACAGAGGCAGAATGGTTTGTCTACTGGGGATCGGTTTATACAATGTGCATCA